AGGAATCTCAGACACGCAGCCGGAAATGCACTGTGATATAGACATTGCGAACGAAAAAAAATTATTTGACTATATTTCAATTCTTTCTTTACTGCAATGAATCGCCGTGCAAATTAACGAGAAATATCAATGAAGAATAATTGAATTTCTTGTGAATTACAGGAAAAATAGAAATTAATCTGTACTGCAAATGCAATTATCGAATGCTTCTCGGAAGTAACTTGTATTGATATCGTTTATTTTATCGTTCCGGATGATTTAGTTTTATCCAAACCAGCTGAAAATATTCCGCCGAGTTTTTCTGAATGGAAGAACCGCTTCGAGATCGTGTTTCCGTGACTATAATTATACATCGGCATGTTAACGAAGTGCAGCGCGTTACACGAATTCGTAACTTTGTTTCCCTCGTAAATATGCGCCTGGTGAATGAGTCAATACGGTGTTTATCGACCACTGGAGTAGTGAATGATCGCGCGTCGTACCTAGCCTTATCGTCGTGACATAAAGGAGCATGTTATTGGTCGTTATCGCTTCTTTATGGCCGTGAAATACGAGCTCGTTAAAATCCTTCCGTCAGTTACATTTCTTCCACCTTTACTAATTAAAGTGAACTTTGTTAATTAGCATTGACGTTTGAACGATAATTTGACTTGTGCTACGTATTGCGTCTTTTTGCAATTGTAGCTTTCAACAAAATTCTTTCCTATGATTTTTCATATTTTAATTTTTATATTTTCTAATATAATTAATCACCTTGGGCGATTTTTTAATTAGGGGAGCAATTAGTTTTAATTACATTTAATTACCTAGTTATTTGTTAACAACGTGTTTCGATGTCGGCATATCGCTACTTCATTTCGCGTAAATTTAACACGGATGACCATCGGTGTGGCACGATAGAAAAACAGAGAGGAAGCGAACTGTTTTCGATGAAACTGTAGCAACGTGGAACGGCACGCGGCGGCTCGTCCTTGATCTACGGCTGAAGTTTCAGTTTAATTACGCCGGCAACGAGCGCATCTGCGAGCCATTTTTCTGCTTTGCTGTATTGGGACAATGTTCGTTTAAATATTTATCGCGAAATATCCGTGTCTCATTTACTCTACTTCATTAATTGTAACGACGTGAAATGCGATTGAATCACATCGCCTTTTAAGAGCGGATCTTTCGACTTTGAATTCGGAATTAATTTTATCGCTCCGACTGTACAGGTTTGATCGCGGAATCGCTCGGGGAACGCCGAAGTGCTTCGAAAAATGCAAATGAGTACAAGCGCGAGCAAAATTACTGAATCTTTTAATTCGGCTTTAACGGATAACGTAACTCGAGGCTGGATCGTCGAAGAGGTGCACTTAATACCGAAATTAAAAAATAAACATTTAAAAAAAATATACAAACATTTACGAAATATCCAGAAATAAAATTGAGGTACATATCGTTTCGTGATCACACGAGAAATTATATTTGCGTGCCGTGCGAAAAAGGAATATTCGGCCTTGGAGTAATCGTTACCGGCGTGCCACCAGATTTCGCGGTAATTCGCCGTAAAACAAACACATCGTCCATCAGGCTTGCACAATGTCTGTCGCGAATTGGAGCGTCCGTCACGGATCACCTAATGACGAAGGGGCTCTCGTCATCGCGCAAATATCCACGAGAGGGATCGACGAGAGAGAGAGAGAGACAGAGAGAGTGAGAGAGAGAGAAAGAGAGATAGTGAGAGAGCGAAAACGAGCGAGTGGGAGGGAGGAGGTGGGATACGGTCAGGCGTTGATGTTTCTGGGAATTTCTTTTTATTGCGTACGCGCGATAAAAGAAGAAAAGGAATGGCGAGCCGAGAGTCGGATGACGGCTGGTCTTTGGAATTCCAGCATACAGGAAATCACGCTAAAACGTCTGTTTACTGGCCGTTGTTGCGCAATTTTTGTTTGCAAGTCGAAGAAAGACGCGCGCTGCAAATTGGCGTGTGCGACGACGACGATGAATTCAAACAAACGCGATTATCGTCGCAGTTTCGGTCAAATTAACCAATTCCTCGAACGCCGTTGATGCAACCTTAACCGTTGATTAGTCGCGTAGGATCATAATGATCCCCTGCTTTCTGAACGCAATTGAAAGAAAATGTCAGTTATTAACCATTTGAAATTAAAAATGCGTAAAACGGTTAGCTTGTAATTTAGCGGCTGCGATGCGGTAAAAAAAAGGGTACAACTTATGCGTATTGCAAAAATTAACAAAGGCATTACATCAATTTTGCATTTATGTCTGTCATAAAGAAAAAAAAGGAAATTCGACGGATTCGAAAATCGTTATTGGTTGAGAAAATTCGATTAAGGATAACATTTCTCTAATATTTTATATCACGTGCATCTCGAGATAATTCTATTTTTCGAAATAGAGCTTCAATTGTGTCAACAGCCAGTTAGTGCAATTGGGCTGTAACTAATAATAAATTATGGCAAAGGAGAAAATGAGGAATTGGAAAACGCGGTGTAATCGGATGCAGCCGCTCACGCAACTGACAAAGCAGTATGCGGATTCCGCTGCGAGTCGGAATGTTAAACAATATGTCTCGAAGTATCTGATTTCGATTTCTGCAGACGTGGTCTAGAGCGTGTAGCGCAGGGCAACACGTCAATTCTTCTCGTTGTTCTCTCGCTCGAATAAGCTCGTCTGATACAAGTCCGCTATTAATAGCCATCAATTACTGTCGCTAAAGAGACGTTATGTTAATTTAGTTAAAGTATTTAGTTCTTTTTAGTATCTACTTGTTAATTGAATTAATAGACAGCAGACGTACAAGAGAGCTCTGGATAAATATTTGAGAAACAACTGATAGTATTGTAATTTTGGTTTGTTTTTTTTAATACGTGAAATATTGCTTTCGGTAACTATACCAATAATTTTGTATTGCAATATTAAGTTACAAAATCGACTTTTTAAATTGGAAGCTACACACCCATAGTGATTTCCTTTGCAGGTCTCGGACTCAATACGCTTAAAATTATCGGTTATCAGGGCAATCTTTTATATTGAACTTTTCACAGTGGAACTGATCGTTATCGTTTCTGGAAACACGAGCCTATGTGTGCGTGTACATAATACACGAATGAGTCAGTTCAACACGCGATGACATACAGTTTTTTCATGAGCGATCCCCCTTTTAGATCGTTAAATACACGAATATCGCGTACTTATGAGGCAATTCAAATAGACCTAAGCACACTACGCGAAAATACCGAGAGTGCTCTTTGCAAAAAGGCAAAATTTTGCGGATCACTCGCTCTCTCTTTTGTCGTCACTTGAAATTCAGCAAGTTTCGTAATTAAGTAAATAAATTGATGTAAGTCCTGTCGTAATTGTGGGCCTCTGTTGCGTAAGACTTTTTTTATTTATAAAAATTGTGCGAATAAAATTATATACGCGCGATCAGAAACAATTGTGACTTTTGAAATTCCGAAAATGTTCGTAAAATCAAAATATAGCCTTACAAATGTCCTTGCTTTTGGCAAAATTACTTTCACAATTGTCGCCACTTAATTCCGCACTGACCGATATTTTTTCTCCATTTTATTACATGCTTTTATGGACGCATCCCGCCGGTGGATTAATCTCATTAATCTCGCGAGCGTTTGAAGGGTCTTCTCGGGGAGATACTTCGCGGAAACCCCCATCCACGCGTATTTTTAATGGCAGACGTTCTGGACGGGAGGTTTGCGCCTCATTACACGTTTTCAGGGACAATTTCCTTAATTCTCTTTCCGCCGCGTGATTCACGGTCTCGACGTGCCCTTGGCCTTACCGCGATTATGTCCTACTATAACGACGAGAGAAAGACAGCGAGAGAGCGAAAGAAAAGGCGGGGAAAAAAGAAGAAGAAGAGGAAAGTCAGGAGTGTATATCGCGCAGGTACGCGAAGGACCCGAGTAATAGCTCGGCGAAGGAGACGGAACGAGAGGGAAGGGATAAATGAAACAGCGAACGCGTGCGCTACATGTCGACACGGCTGCGGTATGCCAAGGTTAAAGCGACTTACGGCAAAGTTTAACGAGCCGATCATCGATCGAATGAAAGCGCTCGCGCGCGCGTGAAATTTCGTATATCTCACCGAGCGAACGGACGTGGACAGGAGCGAAAGTGCCGGTACTTTCGCGTACCGTTCTGTATACGTGTCTCCTCGCTCCTTGCTTGCCCCACAAAGTCTACGTCGCGCGAGTTAATACAGTCCCGTATTATGCAAACGGCGAATCGCACAAGGCAGACCCGAAGCCTTCAGCTTCAATGTCGATTTGGCGCGATGCGTACATATCGAGCGAGAACGCAGCGACTATCATCGAACGGCGAGCGCGAAAGAATGTCTCGGTCATTCCGACACCGACATTCTCTTCCCCTCGCCCTCGCGTACAAACAATCGGGGAAATTAATCTGTAAAAAAGGTAAAAAAGGATGACACATATTCGTAACAAAATTTATTTAATGTACAGGCAAATATATAGGATATTTTATTTCAAGGCGCACAGTGTGTGTTTGTAGCGACGATATCAGATTCGAAATTACAAGCAGATTCAACTGAAAATGATGGGACGATTATCACAAATGTCACGTAAATCAAAACATATATACATATGTGCTATTGTACTTGCTTATAATGCGATGCACCTGATACACGCATCTCGTGCCTACACGACCGGAGATTTCCGGAGAGCGAGTTCCACATCCGGCGAGCCTTGCATTCCTTTCTTTCCGCGGACGAACGCGACATCAGGATTCATTCGATTGACGACTTCTTTGCGTGCTCCTAGTAGATTTATTTAAAATACAACTGCAATTAATTTTCCATTACATTTTATTCGCATATTAATCTCTTTTGAATCTCATTTTTGGATTCGGCGTATAAAATGTCGAAAATGTTACGAATATTACGTGCGACAAAAAAATTCATCAATGTTATTTTGCACTTTACAGTGTTTTTATTTTATTTTTTCCCTTTGTTGTTCTAGGTTTACTAAACCCCAAACATTTGCGGATTGTATCGGCAACGAGCTTCCCCTCGGCTGGGAAGAGGCCTACGATAAACACGTGGGTGCCTACTACATCAATCATGTCAATCGTAAGTTTTTCTTTTACTTTTTCTTATTGAAAAATGCGTTAAAACGGCCAGGTGCTTAACTTGTGATACGATATTTTTTGGAGATTTTTTTATCACATCCAGGCTTAATACTTACTTAACACTTTGAGAATTTATATTATTTTTAAATAAAATAAAAAATAGAATATAAAATGTAATGACTATTATTTTGAAAAAATAGAATTTCTCTGATTGAATTAAAGTAAATTATTTAGATAATTAATTAATTAGATAATAAAATAATTTAGATAATTAAAATAACATTCTACCTTGAAGAATTTATGGCATGAAGAATTCTTCACGAATGCCATAAATTCTAGAATAAGTAGAACAATTTTTTTTTCTAATTTATCATTACTGAAATTCGTACGTTTCTCATCGAATTAATATTCATATACACAGAGACAACGCAGCTGGAAGATCCAAGGCAGGAATGGCGGGCCATTCAAGAGGCAATGCTTCGCGAGTATCTGCAGACCGCACAGGACGTACTCGAGGTAAGTTTAGAAACAATTATTCATAAGCATTCATTCAGTGCGAGCAATTTTTCACTTAACGTGTCACTCGTAAAAGCGGAATTGATCCGTTAATCACTCGCCGTGTCGATGAACCTTGCGTTGCCGAGATTAAAACAAACAGGGAGGGGAGAACTGATGGAATTTCAACGAGGGTCGACGAGGGCGGCAGGAAGTCAGTCCGTGAGAAATCATGTTACTTCCGGTCATTCGGCGTACCCTCGCGCACTACGAACGCGGCAGCGTAGATTAACACGCGATTAACCGCGTTCTGTCCCTCTGCATTTATCGCGGTATAGGATGTACTTTGCACGCACACACATGCATGCAGAGCGCGAGAGAGAGAGAGAGAGAGAGAGAGAGAGAGAAGAAAGAAGAAGAAGAAGAGAGAGAGAAGAAAGAAATA